CCAACATGTATATATGTGCAAGGAATTTAAACTGTGATTTGATTTGATTTTAGAATACCATCCAGGCTTTCTCAATTTATACCAGCTGGTGCATCTGACAGCCAAAACTAGAAAAATAACTGCATTTAAAGATGGAAATCCCTATTCATGAGACCATTTCAGAGCCTTTGCTTTCCAGCAGGACTGGTTGAGCAGCATGTTCTGATCATTGGGGTAGTTTTGGCTTTCAGAGACAGATGGCCATTGTGTTTAATGTCTGTGTATTAATGTTCTGTTGATAAAAGTATGAGTAAGTTGCTAATTTCTCTGGGAAAATATAATTAAACTGTTGAGATCAGGATACATGTGACCTGTGCTGTGTTTGGTCCAGAGGCTTCAGATTCAATTAGCTTTTCAAAACTGCTGTGAATTTTTACCTGCTTGCTTGGATCGAGGGGAAAAAAGTTCCTTTGTTTATTCTAGGATGAATAGAAAACTAGTCTTATTTCAGCCTTTTATTTGGATGTTTCTCAGTACTAATGTTCAATATTTCCAAATATAGGATGGGTGGTATTCAGCTCAAGATATCTCAAGACATTTCTCAAACTTGTTGCTGTGAAATCAAACATTCTGGTGTGATTTCAGACTGTGTAGTCAAGTTTTCGTGGATGGTAGCTTTTCTGGTTTCTGCCTCGAATCTTAAAAGCTTTTTTTTTTTTTTTTTTTTTTCAAAATTGCTGTGAATTTTTACCTGCTTGCTTGGATCGAGGGGAAAAAAGTTCCTTTGTTTATTCTAGGATGAATAGAAAACTAGTCTTATTTTTCAGCCTTTTATTTGGATGTTTCTCAGTACTAATGTTCAATATTTCCAAATATAGGATGGGTGGTATTCAGCTCAAGATATCTCAAGACATTTCTCAAACTTGTTGCTGTGAAATCAAACATTCTGGTGTGATTTCAGACTGTGTAGTCAAGTTTTCGTGGATGGTAGCTTTTCTGGTTTCTTCCTCGAATTTTAAAAGCTTTTTTTTTTTTTTTTTCTTCATGGATTTTAGCCTGACAGGAAAATATTGCAGCTACAATGTGTGTTGCTGTACCTGAAAGTATTCATTCCTTATATAGGCAGTTTTCTGTATTAGAGTGACAGGAAGGTGCTTAATTCTGACAGCTGAAAGTGTTGACAATATTGGGATTTTTTTTTTTTTTCATAAACCATTCTTGCCTATTTCAGTAATTCCTACATTAGGTAGGAGCCCTTCTCTTGGGCAGTCACTCAGCTGGCTTTGATTTTATGCTTTTTTTGGGTGCATTCATTCACTAGGATATTCAAAAATGGAGTTAATTTGCGTGCCGTATACTTACAGGTTTAACAGAATATAAGAAAAGCTCTTTTTAAGAAATATTTCAACATGGATGTGAAGGATGTTAGAGGGGTGGTGAATGTGCAGCTTTTTGCTGTTTTACTTCAGTTGTTTTTAACACAGTGTTCTGCAGAAGAACTCAATGGTTATTACCTATCACAGGTATATAAGCAAGAAATTATTTGGGACTGCAGGATGACTAGTTTGTGTCTGAGTTACTTAACTACCTCCTCTCCTGAGTGTGTAGCTTTTAGGTGTTTGCTTACTTAGCTTTGTGACATTATTACCAACTTGTAGTTTTTAACAGCATTTCTTTCTTCTCTTACTCTGGAAATTACATAATAATCTGTTCATTCTCAACTGTCTGAGCAGCTCTGTCTATGATGGCTTCAGTCAGAAATTGTCTGAAGCAGTGAAAAGGTCCCAAACACGAAGAATTATCAAAAACTGTTTAAATTGGATAATTTCTGTTCTAGTGATAGATGTGAATGAAGTGATGGATGCCCTAGGACAGTAAACATGCTATAAGAAATGTATATGTGAATTGATTCTCTTCTGGGCTGAGAATTGTTCAGAAGAAAAGGAATCAGCAGTTGGTTGCAAAGTCAGTGAAAGGATCCATGGGTGAAGTGTATTTTCCTGCTGTTCTGTAGCACAGGAGGGCCTTGTGACACTCTCAGGGGGTTCCTGATGTAAATTACCTGACCCTGTTGGCAAAAAGCATTCATTATATTATTGTCTTTATGATGGGACTCAGGAATATTCCTATTCCATGCTCATGTTTCACATTTGCAAACCTAGATGGCAGTTTGGAATTGGTAGCTGGCAATTCCTAGCTGGATTTTATGGGCAAAAAATCCCACTTGGCAGCAGTTGGCTTCATGGGCAGGGGCAGGAGGAGTCTGAAGACTGCAGCAGTTCAGCAGCTGGGAAGGAAACCAGCAGAGCCAGGTGGTAACTGCTCAGTTACTGGTTTGGAGGGAAGAGTTGAGATCTCCCTGCCAAGTCTAGCAGAACTTGGAAAAACAATGCTGAGATAATAATAATAATAATGATAATAATGATAATAATAACAACGATAATACAACAATAACAATAACAATAATAATAATAATAATAATAAGCTTGCAGCCATCCAGAGGTTTTAACCCTCCAAACCTACCTTCAGAAACTCTGACTGAATGTTGCTTCTGATTGAAACATGCTAGTTGGTGATTTGTGTGTTTAATCAAGAGGGAATGATTCTAAGTGAATCTCTGCCACCAAAGCTGTTTGTATATTAGTCTCTAAATGTATTGGTGGTGATACAACATGTCAGAATTTATAACTTTCTTATAGTTCAATAGCAGAATTTACAAATATAATTAGAAGGTTAAAGGCATTTAAAGAATTAAAGCACTTTAATGACATTCAGTTTTTATTGACAACCCACTAATATCTGCTGCATTCACATAAAGATTTCTAATGTAATCCTGTGAGCAGATAAAAGCTCTGCTGTTTAAAAGCTCAATGCAAAGCAGATTCATTGGATCTGCTCGTGGAATGCAGATGGGGAGTTCCTGAGCAGATGATGGGTTGTAAGTGCTTGTCTGCAGCTCACACAGCACAGGCCATTCCTGCTCTTTGTTTTACAGGGTATCACATTTAGAGCTGTATTGAGAAGATAGATGGCAGCACACTGAAACATTTATAAGGATTTATTTTTAGTTATTCTCTGAATGTTTTCAGTTTTCCAAAAATTGTAACATTGCTGCTTTTGAAAAAAAATTACTTGCTCACCTGAGGTGTTTGCAAGTACCCAGATTTGGACTATTTAAAAGAATTGTGGAGAAGGCCAAATACTTATTTTAAGGTCTTTTTTTTCTTTTGTCTATTTAGGATCTAAGGAATAGAGGGTTTTTTTTAGGATCACAGAATCCCAGAATGGTTTGGGGTGAAATGGACCTTAAAACTCACCCAGTTCCACAGCGTACCATAGGCAGGGACACCTTCCACAAGACCAGGTTGCTCTGAGCCCCATCCAACCTGGCCTTGGACATTTCCAGGGATGGGGCAGCCACAGCTGCTCTGGGCACCCTGTGCCAGGGCCTCCCCACCCTCACAGGAGACAATTTCTGCCCAGTATTTGATCTAATCCTGCCTTCCTTCAGCTTAAGGCCATTCTCCCCTTGTTCTGTCACTCCATGCCCTTACAAAAACTCCCCCTCTAGGGACTTAAATCATGTGAAGTAATATCTAATAAAAGTCTTGCTTGATCTGAGCCTGGTTGGGTTTAGGTTCCGTGCTGCTCTTGTGCTCTGATTGGTTGAGCACTGAAAAATTTGTAGCTGAGTCTTTCTGAGCAGGCAGTTTCTGCCAAAGGCTAAATGCTTGGGCATTCAGGTGATTTGGAGCTCAGGCAGTTTGTACAAGCCAGGAAGGGAATTTGAAGAAGGAGCATCCTCTGGCAGAGCAGCAGAATGCAGCTGGTGGGACAGAGCCCAGGGCTCTGTGTTGGAGCTGGGGTCTCTGGCAGAGGTTTTGGGACATTGTTCCCATCACAGGGATCCCCCTTGGTGCTGCAGGATGAGCTAGCTGCCTTTGGAGGTGTTTCCTTGCTTGACTGAACAAAACCTCCCTGTTCTCTTGGAAGGGCTGTGCTGGTTATTAGCTCTCTGTTTTCCCAGAGAAATGAAAAATCGAAAGCAGGGAGGTAATTGGCAGCCCTGAGAAATAAAATAGGGTTTTAGATTAATTTATAGAATGTCTTAGTTTTACAGACAAAACTATAATCTAAGACCATAGAAGTCACTGTTACAGTTCTGGGAGCACCATGAATCCCAAGTAAAGCTGTCAGTGACTTCTCAGTATCCTCTTGCAGGAGAACAAAAAACCTGACTGATGCAGTTAAACACTTACTCTACTTTGTTTTGAACTTGCAAATACAAGGTGGCCTCAATTTACTTTGATTCTTTTTGTTTGTTTGTTGGATGACAAATGAAATGTGTCTCTATTTCCTTCTCCTTGCTGGTTCTCAAATGAGATTTCTAAAACAATAGATTGGTGCAGGCTGTAATGCAATATCATCAGCACAAATAAAATACAGGCTGGGAATAAAATAGCTGCTGTCATCTTTTTCAGTGAGTGGCAAGATACATTTCTTGTGGCTTTTCGTTGATGAACTTCATGTTCTAAGTACATGATGACAGAGCAAAGGGCCAAGTACTGAACCCTTGATTTAGTGCTGGATCCCTCTTGGGAATTATGTTTATATAAGGATTGAGTTTTAAAAAAACCAGTGGGGAGGTTGTAGGCTTTTAGCAGGAGAACGTGATAGGATGAAGGGAAATATGCTTGTTAACCATGTCCTATATGATGTGTGTCAAAGGGCAGTATATCTGCTTTTTTCTCTTCCCATTTGAAAAATGGTGAGAAGGAAGAGGCAAGTGACCAAAGTTAGTATTGATTAACAGCGATTTCATAGCAGGAGCATTCACTTTTTAAGTGTAAGGATGAAGAGTGGGATCTGCCTGATGCTTACACAGTAATCCTCTGGAAAATTTGTGGGTTTATTCCTGGGATGAGATTATTGTAGCTCTGTGCGTGCATCTGGACAGGGTGGGGCGCAGAGGGTGCTGAGAAGATTGCTACTAAATTCTGTTGCATTTCTTTGTCTTTCAGGACTTGAAGTGGATGGAGGAGGACACTTCTTGCTAAAGATTTAACTTGTCTAAAGATATCAAGGTAGGAGAATTTTTTCTTCCTACAATCCCATGTGTTCTTTGCGGGCATCATTTAATTGTTTAGAGTTGCAGTTGTCTTCTGTGGTTTCTTTCTTAATGTGTGATCACCTGAAAGTGGAACAAGGGTTCTTTCTGTAACAGTTTTACCAGTTCTTAACCTGATTGTATTAGAGAAAAGGATGTAAGAGCTTTCACATATTAGGTTTAATTAGAGTGAGAAATTGTTCCCTGTGAGGGAAGTGAGGCCCTGGCACAGGTGCCCAGAGCAGCTGTGGCTTCCCCTGGATCCCTGTAAGTGTCCAAAGCCAGGCTGGACAGGGCTTGGAGCAGCCTGGGACAACAGAAGGTGTCCCTGCCCATGGCAGGGGTGGGACAGGATGAACTTTAAGGTCCATTCCAGTCTTGGCCATTTTATGATTCCAGCTTGTAGAAAGTGCCCTAAAATTTGTTTCAAGGCAGTTTAGCAAGACTGAGCTTGTGCAGCACTGTGCCACATTTTATTTCAAGTTTAGATACTTACTCACTTGTTTGTTGATGGAGGCAGTTACTAGTAATATTTAAAACCAAAGCAATAATTGTTACTGCTATGAGCAACACAGAAGACACTAAAAGCACTGCAGGTGAATTGATGAAAGTGAGGTGATGGCATTTCTAGCTTTTGTTTCATTGTCGTTTTTCTCCAAGGCTGGATAATTATTACGTTGTATATGGAGAATGGAAGTGTCCTTTGGGAATTCAGGCTGTATCATTAATCTAGAATTAGAAACCAGGTTATGCAAAATGACAAAGCCTGGTTCAAAATTAAATTTCCTGAATTTCAAGGTCATCCCATTTTCATGTTGAGGTGAGAACTGACTTTTGGCTTTCTCCTACTGAGTGATTGCATTATTTTCTGCAATGTTTCTGATCTCGTTTTAAATAGGTGTTAAATGTCTACACTTAAGTATTGCTGCAGAAATCTTTTTCCCAGAAAAGTAAATTCAAAAAGTTATGGTTACAAGGTCTGTTAGTTGGTATTCTGTGGCTGGCAGTTATCTCAGGAGGATTGTTACTGTTTGGGAGTAGTGAGTTTCTCTGGATTCAGAGTGAGTCCTTTTGTTCTCCTGTGTCCTTCCTTGAAGTATGACTGTTCCAGACAAAAAGAAAAACAATCTCATGTCAGCAGAGAAGGGGAAGCTCGAGCCTGCACAGAGCACGTGTGTGTTGAGGGATTGAGCCTTGCATCTTCCTGGTGGTGCAGCTCCAGGTACAAACAGCTTCAGCCTCTGGAAGTGCTGTGTTCCAAGCACAGCACCAAAATGAGCTGTTCCTCTGCTAAATTGTGTGGGTTTCCATAATAATACAGTGTTTGTCTCCTTCCTCCCAGGCTGTAACTGTATAAAAATTACCTCTGAACATAAATGCCACAGACTTTGAGTGAGCATAATCACCACAGACTCATCAAGAAATTTGTATGGCCACATCCACCTTAGGGCTGTTGTTGGGAACTTCACTAACGTGGGAATATGACTTTGTTATGCTCTCAGAATTGCTTTTTAACTGGAGCATTAACAGCTGCTTCTTTTGATAAAATAAAGGCAGGGATTGAGGCCAACCTCCTGCTTCCTTGTGGAACGTTACGTTGACCCGCTGCACACGTTTTTCCAGTGGGAATGCTGTTCGGTGTTTTTGGGTGTATTTTTATGGATTTCTGTCAAAGGTAGTTGGAGAAGCAAAGACAGTGAGGTCATATCAGGAGGACAGGGGAGAGCACAAGGGTCCTGGACTTATGGGAGTCCATGCAGGATCTGTAGGAAAGATCCTGTCCAGAGATCTCCAAGAGTGGATCGGCAGATTGGCCTTCACGTCAGGTCCCCCAAGTTAGTTATTGGTGTTCAGGCTTTTGTGAGAAACATAACATCAAACAATTAATTTTGTTGTTCTAAAGCCTATTAGAGAACTCTGTTTAATAAACTCTTAATTGCTTAAAGACCTCTAATTGGTGGGATTTAGTACATTTAATACCTTTGCTGTTTTCGTATTTCCAAATAATCCTAGAAGTTCTTGGCAAGCTTGCTAGGTCACAACAGTGCTGTTTTCATTCCTAAAGTTCCTGGAAATATTTAATCTCTAAACTTGATGTCTAAGTTCTGCTCCTGTGTGTTTAAATGTGCATGGATCAAGCTTACAAATATATATTTCCCTAGACTTCAGTGTTATTGTAATCATTTATTCCCACCTCTGTGGTGAGGCAGAGTTTAATGGATTTGATAGTCATGGAGCTCCTGCCACTTGTCAAGAAATTGGTCTTATTGGAAAAAAATACAGAATTCTAATCTTAGGATATACATTTAATAGCTTCTCACGCTGACATGCCCAGAATTTGCCAGCAGTGTTTGTACAACTCACTGGACATCAAACACTCCTTTGAACAAGAGCTTAGCTTTGCTAATCAGCTTTATATAAAATAAAATTTTATTTTTAGTGGAGTGATCAGAGAGGAGGAGAATACAGGGAACTGGTCGTTCTACTGGTGGTATATAGGCAAAACATTTTGCTTTGATTTTGTAATTGTGTGTCTGACAGACAGTATCTCTATAAAAAGAAGCAAAAGTTACTTTTGTGGGCTGTAATAATGTGTAGCCACCGGAAACATGAGGTGGCTTTTGCAGCCTGTCTACAAACTCTGTTTTAAGACTAAGAAAACACTGGAATAGGCCTTAGTCATCCCAAAGGATTTAATGAGATGTCGCTGACTTGTTCAAGCTTAGCATTTGGTGTAAGTTTGCAGCTTGCAGAGCTCAGTCTGCCTCTACCCCCTTCACTTTGGGGTTTTTCCTCATCCTATTTGTACTACTGCCTTGCTTCAGAAAGTTATTATTGCTTATGTATTTCATTGAAATTTAGATTTATTAGAAGATCAAACAACATTTGTCAGAGTGTCTAGACATAAACCAGGAGATTCTGGAACTGTTTTTTCTAAAAATGCTGCATAGAGATTCTATATTTTTATTCATCTGCTGATAGTTGGAGACTTGTGCTCATACAATGTCTTCATTTTGTTTGGTAAACTTACAAATGACAAGGTAAAGGACAAATCAAGTGTAGTAGCTCTTGGTTGTCCATATTGTTGCAGGAGATATCTTGTGTTAGTGGGGGTGTGAAGGATCCCCATCACATTCCTGCAGCTTTTGCTTCTGCTGACAGAGCTGCTGCTGATCCTGCAGAAAGGCATTAACCTGGGCTGTGAGGTGCCTTAAGGAGTTCATGGGTTAGGATGAAAAGTTCTCTGATCCAGCTCTTCCTAATACTGTAATTCTGTTTGCTGTTTAATGCTTCTAATTCCATGAACTAACACAACCAACAGGATTTTTAATTTAGAGTGCTTATTCTTAAATATTACTTCTGGTTTAGTGGTGTTGGCTGAACAGAGGAAGAGCTGTGACCATGTTTGCTCAAAGCCACAAAGGGATGCAGCTGTGCATGAAAATGAAAACCAGCAGCTGATTTTGGGCACCTGCTCCTCTGTGTTGTGAACACCTTAACTAATCAGGATGTAAGTCTAATGAGTGCTTATGCTCAGAATACATCAGTACTGTGAGTAACAATGAGGAACCACGTCAGGAAAAGCAGAGTCACAGAATCACTGAGTGCTTTGAGTTGAAGTGGCCTTAAAAACCACCTAGTTCTGGCATGGGCAGAGTCATCTTCCTGTAGTCCAGCAGTCCCCTGGGAGTATGGAATCAGTCCTTGGGATGTCCCTTGGCTGATAACCCAGGGTCTTTATGCAGGACATCAGTTCTCTCTCCACTCTGGGCTTCTTGGGAGCAAATTCACCGAGGCTCTGTCTGTGCAGAGCCTTCATTCAGCCTTAGTAGCAGCACAGCACCTCCTGGCTCTGCTTGCCATGTGCAAGATACAGGTAAATATAATTATTAGCAGACTATCAGGCTTGCCTTTGGCGTGGTCTAGGCCCAGGCTGGGTGGCTTCCTTGACATAATTTGGTTGAATTCAGTTGTAGCTCAGCACTGGCGGCAAAGCTCTGCTCAGTTCTCTCTGCAGTGCAAGCCACTATGGGGAAAGTCCCGAAACAATTGTCTGTGTATCCAGATGGAATTTTTTTTGATAGTCATGTAGCAGTGGGATACTCTGAAGGGGACCTAAGCCTCGTTTAGGAGCCTTGGGAATGAGCCTGAGCACCAGCTCCTTGTGTTTTGGTGGCAGAAGAGTGACAGGGGATGCTCAAGCGATTCATAAATGCCAAGGAAATACAGATTCCATGTTTAATGCTCATCCATGGAGGCACACAAATCTGTTTGTGGAATCTGGTAAGTGAATGGGAGCTTGTGTTAGGAAAGGCTGCAGTTGCTGCCATCCCTGTTTGCTCACTGGGGCTTGGGATGTATGTACTCTGAGCTGCTGCCCTGGAATGCTGATGTCTCTCAGTAAGTGAGTACACCATATTAAAAGGACTTTCAGTGGCTTTAAATATACATATAAAGCTCTTTGAACTGAGCATTATTGTATTATTAGACTTGAAAGTATCAGACAAATGGGAAGAAATGCAAGATGGCATTTACTGAGCATCCTCCAAGAGGAAACAAATATTGTTACAGGGAAAAAAAAAAATCATTCTTTATTTTTAAAAGATGAATGTGTTATCTTGTAACTATGAAATATCATGTGTACAATAGAAAGAAAATTGTGGTTTATTGTATGTACTGATCAAAGACTCTTCACAATTCTTTTGGTCTAGTTTGAACTGCTTTTGTTGTAGGTGTTTTCATGCTTTACATGCTTTAATAAGTGGCTGTTCCCCAGCAGAGGCTGTCAGTGTGCCTGGTGATCCCAGACACTCTTTTATGTTCAGCAGTACTCAAATAACCTTTTTTTTATCCTCCCAAGACATATACAGCAAGGAAAATATAGGGATAATGTTTCTGTTTGATTTTTTGCATCAGTTACTCTGGGTTTGAGTGACTTGTCTCCTCATGACAATTTATTCAACTCACAGGAGAATTTGACAGTCAACCAGCCCAGGAGCTGCAGAGCATCTGGAGTTGTGGTTGGTGTCAGCAGGATTGATTTTCTGGGCAACAGGAAGGGCAGCAGCTCCTTCTGATGTGTTTGGCTTTAATAGTGATGGGAAATGGAGGCAATTTGCTAAATGCTGTGTCTTTCCCACTTCTGTGTGATGATAAATTATAGGGCAAAATAGGTTGGCTCTTCCAGCAGCACTGGAATTGTGTTGTCCTGTAAATAAAGCCTAGGTAGCCGAAAGCAAACTGAATGGTGGGCTTTATGTGGATGTTGTTGTTAGGAATTTCATTGTCAAAATAGCTTTTCGTCATTTTATCTTGGTTTTAACCCTTCTTTACCTCTTCTCCGTCATGGCTTCCAGCGGTCCGAATGGGAGTGTTGATTTTGCGCGTCTGTTGTTCTGTTTCCCGCAGCGTTTGCAACAAACCAAGTGGAACAGGATCGCCATGTTTCGAAACAGTCTCAAGATGCTTCTTACAGGAGGGAAGTCAAACCGCAAAAACAGGTCCAGCGGTAAGTAACCCTCACCTCGTCGTGCGTGTGGGATCTGAAGCCCTTCCTTTCATGTTTGTTTTGGTCTTAGCAGGACTTTCTTCTTGTTAATGAACAGATGCACTCAGCTGACGATCTTGTAGACTCCACAAACATCATTATACTTTGTTTTAATACAGTGCTGTGCTTTTAATTTGGAACTGTATGTATGTTTGTTTTTAAGTGGATGTAAACCATCATCTGGTTTTGTTGGGGAGATAAGATGCAGGGAGAAGCAAGTAAGAGTTCTACATAATCTTGTAGTAAACAAGCATCAAGGTTCACGTTTCATTTATGGAAAGTGAGACTTTTTTTTTTCTTCTGAAATGTCTGTGATAACTTGTGGCAGTGAAACCTGTTTAATTACAGCCAAAACTTGTGAGAGCAGCAGCAATTTCTTTTCAGCTTTTATTTTTAAACAGGAGGGAGAGAGAGGAATGGGAATAGTTGAAATTAAAGGAGAAATTGCCCAAATTTAGTCATCATTTACATCAATTTCGTTTTTCTACCATCTCAGGAAAGGAGTTTACAGTTAGTATTGGTTCACGTGACTTGGCCTGTTTCATCCATGACAGAGATGGGGGGAGATTGTAATTGTAAAACAAAACATTACAAAATATTGATAGGCTTTAAAAACATTTTTATTTAACTTTTGTAGTTTTTTCCAAAAATGGAGTGTTGGCAGGAGAAGAGCTTTTAATTAGATCTTTCATTTTGAATTTTAAAGCCATCTGGCAACACATTTTAAATATTTTGGGATAACAGTGTTTATTTGTGCTCGTGCATCTGCGTTAATGTGGATATTTATGTTAGGGATGTTCATATGGATGTTCCTTGAGAAACCAGAGGTGAGGATGAGGAGTCACAGTGCTGGTAAAGGCAGTGGGAAAACGAGCTGTTTTCTTTTGGCTTCAGCAAGCTGTTCTGTGTTTGTCACGCTGCCAGAATTTGGCCATTGTGAATACCTTCCTGGCCATGTTGTATTTGGGGAAGGAGAGCTGTGGGACTTTGCTGTGGGGCAGCACTGATGCTTTAGCCATCAGTGGTCCCTTATTCCAGTGTCTGGTGACAGCTCTGGAGTTTTGGTTGGTCCTGGGCAGTTCAGGCATGCACCGTGGTGTTGTAGTCGGTGTGGATCTCAAAGCAGGTAAAAATCTGTTTTGCGAAAGCACCATAAGAATTCAGGCCTGAGGTGGTGGCTGTTCATTGCTTTTTTGGAGATTTCCTTCCCACAGCACTCCTGGGTCTCTTGTAGCAGGAGTGGTTGGTGTGAGGGAGGCACCTGCATGAAAAGACAGGCTTGTGGAAAACGTGAGCAGATGGCTCCATCCTCTTGTGATTTGTGTCACGTTTGCTCTTTGAAAGTACAAGTCCTTTGATGATACCTTTAGAAAAGTGCACGCAGACAAATCACCTTAACTTGTGATTTCTGTACAAAGCCTTCTCTTTGTCAGATGTGCTGCTAACAGGCCCTGGTATTCCTTTTGGCTTATCTCCCAGAAGCAATATTAAGGATTTTGTATATGCCAAGCTCTGCAAATACGTGTTTCTTATTTTGTGAATGAAAAATGTCCGTTCTGAAGTACTGAGATTCGACAGTCTGGTTTTGGGCAAAGCAGAAGAGGAGATGGGTTTTCTTATTCATATATTGAAAAATAATATGACAGAATTGAATTGATGAGGTTCTCTCTAATGCCTAGTGACTGGAGTGTATGTTAAATTTACTGTAATTCTGCCCTTGAAATAAGTTGCTTTATTGAGAAGTTCTGTTTGGCATTCTTCAGGGCAAGAGAGGGAATGGGAAAATGAGATGATCAGGTTTGTTTATATTGTTTGTGACTAAGTGGCAAACATCCCTGCACAGCATAATAATTTTTCAGATAGTTGTTAATCTTTTAAACTCTTACATGACATTAGATGAATTCATCACTGCCTAGATTTTTAAAGATAAATATATTTAAGTCTGGGGTTTTTTTGCAACACAGTAAGGAAAACAATTAGTAAATCTTCAATGCACATTTTCCGTGTTGCAGGCAGTACTGAGAGCCTGAAACTTGCTGTATTTATTTATTTATTTGTTCTGGCAAATTACAAATTGAGTACTTTTGGTCCCTCCAACAGTGTTGTCTTCACTGGTGGGTTTTGTCTTGGCAGTTTCTGTAGGTGGGACACTGCAGGTTTTAGATTTTTTTCTCATTCAAGTGCTGTAAAAAGATCATGTGTTTATTGAAATTTTAAAATTTTGTTTATCATTAACGTGATTTAGAATGCTAATTAGAAGAAATTAAGCTTCCCTGATGGTTTTGGTGCTCTGATTTGCCCCATCAGAGCTACACCCATCTCTGAGAATTGTGAACAAAATCCTAAACTCCGTGTTAGGAAAATCATCTGTTGGAGGTTTCAGGTGTGCCATGTGCTGAGTCTGAGTCTTGTGGGTTGGTGACAGCCCACCCAGATGTCTCTGTGAAATTGTGTTGTGTCTTCTTTTCCTACACTCCAGTCATTTTGCATTCCAGTGTGGGAATAAACCTTTGAAGCAGGGTTAAAGGTGTTGTGTTCTTTTCTTGGGGAATCCAAAGGAGCACACTGGCCTTTGAAAATCCTGTGCTTTGCTGTGTCTTTCATTTGCAGTAGCACTTGACAAGCAGGAGCAGTGGAGTCAAGCTAAGGATTCCTAGATGTGATGTGGTTTTGATAATTCTTGGTGATTAAAAGAATGACAGCAGTAACCTTCTTAATTGTCCTCCTTTAGAAACTGCTAAGCAACTTCTCTGAAAAACTTCTCTGTGGTTAACATTTATTTTACCTCAGCCAGGGTTGGTTTTCCGCTTTGCTGCTTGATGGTGTGATTCAGGAACACACAAAATATTTATAAAAGAAGAATACAATTACATGCATCCGAATAGACAGTTACATACAGTAGTGCTAATTAAAATCAATTAATTTCTACTGCAGCATCAGCCTGTGTAATCTCCTGTGATTAATTCTGGGTGTCCTTTCAGAGCTTCAGTGCTGGAGTTTCACAGTACATGCTCAGTGCACACGTGTGTGCACATACTTCATGTCTTGTCTTAAGAAAAATTCTCCCGTGACTCAGGAGTGCTCAGGATGGTTTACAGCAATGCCTTGAGGACACAACAGTGTTTTGATTAGGTTGTTTGTTTCTGATATAAGTGGATATTCCACAAAGCTGCCAGATAGCATCTGTGGTGCTGAAATCTGATCTCAGTGTCTTTGCAGATTACCTTTGTTTTTCTAGTGTGAATTAAGTTAGAGATACGCAGACATCCAAGCTTTCTTATTTGTTTATATCCAGAGCTATATTACACGAGATGTGTTTTAAAGTATAAAAGGACTATGTTTTTCTCCTGTGTTATTCCTTGTGGATGAAAATCCAGCAGGATTGCTGTGGCCAGAGCCCTATGGTCAGAGCTAGCAGCGGTATTAATCTGCAGAGAGGCAAACCTGCTGCTGCTGCTTGTAAGAGATGTTTGTGCCTTCTTCCCCCCTAATTCAGTTCTTCTGGGGCAGTTCTGTTCTCTGAATCCAGAGACTATGAATTCCTCTGATTTCATTTTTTTTAATTAAAAACCTGTCTCATTTATCTGCAGTTTTCTTGCTTGTATTAACCATTCCTTGCTCTGGGTGTGTATTGAAGTAGTGCACATCAAATCCATCCACTTGTATTCATTCCAGCATCCTGTTGGGGAAGTAAGTCCATGAAAGGGCCTCATCATTCCACCTGTTACAGTTATCCTTGTTCTTTTCCAAGCAGACTTTTCCCTCTTACATTATCACATTAAATTAATGCTGCTGTAAGAGTTTGGATTCCCTTTAGAACCTGGTGAAATTCAGCTGCAAAACTGCACATTTTGTTTGGTTTTGTATTTCCCTTCACTTTGTGAGGAGTAAGCCCAAGAATTTGTTCTGTTTATTTCTGACAGAGGCCAAGATAAATGTAACATTAAACAAAAGGAAAAACCAGGGGGAAAACAAAACAAAAAAACCCCAACAAAAGAACAATGAAATAAAACAAAAAAGCAACAAGAAAACAACAATAACAACAAAACTAAACTAAAAACAAGCAACCCCACCCACACACAGAAAAAACAAATCAATCAAGGCAAGGCAAGTACTCTAAAATCTAAGACATGTAATCCTTAGCCCAAAGGGTCTGCTTTTCTCTTCTGAGTTAGTTAGGAATTACATCTTGCTTGTTCTTGACTATAAAATACACAATTTTTATCTGGAGCTTCCCAGCCAGGAGCCTGCCTGTCATTCAGAATATTTTTGGCGCAGGGTTTTAAAAAACCTCTTCTTCTTTCCTGGTTTGCAGAAGACCCAATTACTTCTCACTTCCAACGTATTTATAGGGCTTTTTGGAACCTGCCACTTTATATTTTAATTCTGGGGCTGAAAAGGGCCCTGTCAAATGCTCTTCTCCTTCAATTCCTGCCTTTTGAAGATAAAAGGCATTTCTGTGAAGGTCTCATTTCTGCCTGGCCAGATCTCTGTGCAGTTTCTCATCTATCTGATCTCTTGTGGAAGTCTGAGGATAACTTTTACCCCAGAAGAGTTTGAGGGTCACAACTGCTTTTTCAGTTTAATTTCTGAAAGAAATTGCTGAGTGATGAGATCCAGTTGGTGGGTCCTGTAGATGTCAGGTAACTTAATTTAATAAAGTGTTAAAAATGAGGTATTAAAAGACCCATCATGTATTATGGTCTTGAATACTGACTGTATCCACATGTTCAAGGTATTTCACCCAAGTAATATTTCAGATCCTGTTCTTCCACAAAGATGACTGGTTTTTCATAAATCCATTTTTAAACAAGGCTTGAGTATGTTGACAAATCTTCTGACCATGGCAAAGTTTGCCCTTGAGTTTAAGCATGAACTGACCTTTCCTGAAAGTTTGTTTTGCATTTATGTAATTCAGTGTTTTCCTTCTGAAGCAGGCAATGTATCAGGAAGATGTATAT